AGGGGTTCCTTCGACTTTACCGGGCACCGTCTAACGGCGTAAGCGCCTTTCGTCCCGGCGATTGGAATTCCCATCTTCATCTGTCGCGTTCAGCGCCGTGTCTTTAGCACGTATATTTAACAGACATTTCGTGTGTTTTACACTATCGTTTTTTAAAAGCAGACCGGTTATTGTATCTAACGTCAAACGCGAGATGAAAATTCCGAGCGTCCGAATCGCGCGTGTCACGGAGCACACGTATACAGTTATACACGTTCTATCCACGGTACCACACAGGGGGAAGCACCAGTTTCCGATGGACACTTCGAGGATCTCCCGACAAATGTCGCCTCCCCCCGAGAAAAGAAATATATCAGTTCGAGTCGAACCCCGTCCAGGGCTTCGAGCGCAAGCGAAACGGCGAAAAAATGTCGCGTCGCGAGACGTCCTTTATGATACAAGACGGTGACTTTCGGCGAGAATCTCGCGCTTTCCCTCTCGCGTGGCGTATTGACTGACGGCGCTGGCGCGAGAAAAAGTTAAAGGGAAGATCCCTTCGGTGAATGCCGCTTAAAGAATATTCCTCACAAAGAATTCTCCGAATACTCGCGAATTTCGAGAGAATTTTTCCGGTCAAAACCTCGCGAGAATTCCCTTTGTATCCGCGCGACGCGACCGCGTTCCCCGCTGCGAGGAAAACGCCCTGTGCGTCTCGTTGCCGGGGGTCGGCCGGATATTTCACGGAACGAAGATTGGTTCGCGTAAAACGCCGTGACTAGGGAAGATTGACGTGTGCCTTAAGCGCGGGATTGAAGCCGCAACAACGCCCGATTGTGCCCTTATACAACTCAATTAAACGTGACTGACGTTAAACTGTAAAATACAGGGGAGGAAAAAAGAGTGGCGGGGGAAGAAAAAAAGGAAAAGCGCTCGATGCAATTCCATTTAATTGACATGTATGCACTTTGCGGGGGGAGGCGCGACTCCGCTCGTCAGATTAGGCCCTAAGTAAACCAGAGATTCTCGAAGAGCGCCCGGTACTTACAGGCGTATCGTGCATACGCCGCGTTCATTGAAAAATAGCGCGTGCTGGGAATAATTAATTAGTTTTCACTAATCCGTATTTTATCAAGTTTTCGTTCTCTCTCTTGTTTCCGCTGCGAATATACTGACACGTTACACTTCGGGGGGCATCTTCGCCCGTTTGGCGCGGTAGATTCGTTTGATATCATTTGCAGTGTTCCAATGAAGGCCTCGTCCCCGATCGCGCCGATGGCCGATCGCAGTACATTTTCGTTCTTTCTCTCTCTCTCTCT